TAGTAAAAGTAGAAGTACTGACTAAACTTCTTTACTCAAGTCAAAGTAAAGAGGCTTTGAAATGTACTTCAGTAAAAAGTACCCATAACTAGCAGCTGTTTTAAAGAGTACCTGACCTCCCTTTATATTAATAGAACAATAATGTCATTGTTAGCTAATGAATGTTTCCATGCTGAACAACGGCAACATGACAACGTTTTCATTGGTCCCTCTTCTTTAGAGAAGACCAGGAAATGATGGATACACGGATCGTGTTCAAATCAATAGGCACGCAATGACTCTAAAGAATAATGATCACGCCACCAAACACACATTCAAACTAAAGGAACCAGCCTGTTTGGGAAATGAGAGAAGTAGAAAGTACAGGTATTTGGGTTCAACATGTAAGAAGTAGAAAGTACAGGTATTTGGGTTCAACATGTAAGAAGTAGAAAGTACAGGTATTTGAGTTCAACATGTAAGAAGTAGAAAGTACAGGTATTTGGGTTCAACATGTAAGAAGTAGAAAGTACAGGTATTTGTGTTCAACATGTAAGAAGTAGAAAGTACAGGTATTTGAGTTCAACATGTAAGAAGTAGAAAGTACAGGTATTTGGGTTCAACATGTAAGAAGTAGAAAGTACAGGTATTTGAGTTCAACATGTAAGAAGTAGAAAGTACAGGTATTTGTGTTCAACATGTAAGAAGTAGAAAGTACAGGTATTTGTGTTCAACATGTAAGAAGTAGAAAGTACAGGTATTTGAGTTCAACATGTAAGAAGTAGAAAGTACAGGTATTTGTGTTCAACATGTAAGAAGTAGAAAGTACAGGTATTTGGGTTCAACATGTAAGAAGTAGAAAGTACAGGTATTTGAGTTCAACATGTAAGAAGTAGAAAGTACAGGTATTTGTGTTCAACATGTAAGAAGTAGGAAGTACAGGTATTTGAGTTCAACATGTAAGAAGTAGAAAGTACAGGTATTTGAGTTCAACATGTAAGAAGTAGAAAGTACAGGTATTTGAGTTCAACATGTAAGAAGTAGAAAGTACAGGTATTTGGGTTCAACATGTAAGAAGTAGAAAGTACAGGTATTTGGGTTCAACATGTAAGAAGTAGAAAGTACAGGTATTTGGGTTCAACATGTAAGAAGTAGAAAGTACAGGTATTTGTGTTCAAAATGTAAGAAGTAGAAAGTACAGGTATTTGAGTTCAACATGTAAGAAGTAGAAAGTACAGGTATTTGAGTTCAACATGTAAGAAGTAGAAAGTACAGGTATTTGGGTTCAACATGTAAGAAGTAGAAAGTACAGGTATTTGGGTTCAACATGTAAGAAGTAGAAAGTACAGGTATTTGGGTTCAACATGTAAGAAGTAGAAAGTACAGGTATTTGTGTTCAACATGTAAGAAGTAGAAAGTACAGGTATTTGAGTTCAACATGTGAGAAGTAGAAAGTACAGGTATTTGTGTTCAACATGTAAGAAGTAGAAAGTACAGGTATTTGTGTTCAACATGTAAGAAGTAGAAAGTACAGGTATTTGTGTTCAACATGTAAGAAGTAGAAAGTTCAGGTATTTGTGTTCAACATGTAAGAAGTAGAAAGTACAGGTATTTGGGTTCAACATGTAAGAAGTAGAAAGTACAGGTATTTGTGTTCAACATGTAAGAAGTAGAAAGTACAGGTATTTGTGTTCAAAATCTAAGAAGTAGAAGTAAAAAGTCGTCAGAAAAATAAGTAGTGGAGTAAAGTACTGATACCAGAAACATGTACTTAAGTACAGTAACGAAGTATTTGTACTCCAATACTTCCCACCTCTGCATAACATGCATGTCAACACAGCAATCTAGTAGTATTCAGATTGTTGCTTTATGCACAGCTAATATAGTCTGTAATTCAATTAAATCTCTAAGTTTTAACAGCCTCACAGTAAATTCAGGTCCATGTTTTCCTGGAAAAAGTGACCAGACATGCTGGGAAAAAACTGCCATTCATTCCAGGTCCCTATGTTGTGGTCATGGTGTGTTTTAAAGAAGCCGCTGTTTGCCAGGTTTCCATCGTATATGGAGGAACCAACAAAGGTCCTTTAAGGGTGGAAGTAGATGTGTAGGTGCCTCTTGGATTAGAGTATATATAACTGTGACTAAAGACCCTTAGTGACAGGAAGTGTTAGTGCTGAGAGTGGGAACGTTGGCCAGGAACGCTGCAGACTGACATGATGCACATGGAGAGAAAATGTAGTTTTTAAGAGACCATTTTATGCTTTTTTGGGGTGTTTTCCCCTCTCCTGTAGTGGGTTTTGTTGTGAAAATCCTGAATGTCCTCTTTCAATCTGAGAGTAACATGATAACAAAGGTATCCCAACTGTAGCTGTGTACATGACAGGATGTATGATTACTTAGAAGAGCATCAGGACTGTTTGAGGCATATGATAGCTATGTGATGAACATGATGATTCAGCCTCTATGGAGATAGACATATGACAAGCATGCTCATTTCTGACGTGGAGCTAATCTGAAGTAAACATTGAATACTGCTTTCTATTCCTCCATCTTGTGACTGTGTAACTCCCTCTCTTGGATATCAGCATGTGAAGGACACTGTTCAGGAACTAGTTGATGCTCTGTATGTGATGACTAGCCGGGGACCAGGGAGAGTTTCTAACAGTTTTATAGGTCTTAGTGCATGACAATGGTCTGCAAAGGCTAACATCCACTCTGTGTCCCATGCTCACAGGGTGTGAGAGTGTGCTGATGGACTGCAGACTTGTTCCCTGCATTCAGGCTAATGCTCAGCATGCTTGGATAAGCTCCTCTAATAGGATTAAGCTTTTGAGGACAATTGGTAATACATTTTTATAGCACTCGTAAAAAAAAAAAAGTTTACAAAGTCGCTGCGGTGCTAATTCTTCTGGATCTGGGACAGTAAACACTCCTGATTCCTCTTCTGTTACTTCTATGAGACAGAGGTCACTGGGTTTAACCAGCAGAGCGTCTTTCCTTCTCTTTAAAGCTCACATTTCTTCCTCCTCCTCCTCCTCCTCCTCCTCCTCCTCCTCCTCTTTTGGGCCCCAGACCAGTGGTTCTCAGGAGACGAAAAAGAGGGGCTTTTGATGCTAATGCTCCAGAAAGTGGAAGCTGAAGAGACCAATCTGCAGCTCATTTGAAAAGAAGAATTCACAGCTAGTGCTCGCCTGCAATCAGGAGTATTAAAGAGCACAAGTTAAGACGTCTAACATCCAATTTAAGAAAGTTGTTTTACAAAAATGAAGACTCAAGTTGCTGCCTTGATTTACAAAGTTTAGTTTAGTTTGACTCAGATTGTATATTGTGTATATTGTCAGTACACTGTGTACAGTACATGGCTTGTAAGATCGATTCAGGATCAAAATACCTTGCAAGAACAGAACTTGTGAAATTCAGTTTGACGCCTTCTTCATCCTAACTTGTTTCCTATCATGACTCAGCAGATTTCAGCAGTGTTTACATTTAAACAGACCCATCTCTCACCTGTCAGCAGCGTCTCAATGCAGACTCAGTGACGGGATGATTGTGTGTGACGGCTGGTGTGTGTGTGTGTGTGTGTGTGTGTGTGTGTGTGTGTGTGTGTGTGTGTGTGTGTGTGTGTGTGTGTGTGTGTGTGTGTGTGTGTGTGTGTGTGTGTGTGTGTGTGTGTGTGTGTGTGTGTGTGTGTGTGTGTGTGTGTGTGTGTGTGTGACGGCTGCTGAGTCATTGCTAATGTGCATCTGTTTCAGGCAGTGAGTCTGCGGAGACAGTGAGTTAGGAGGAGGGGCGGGAGATTAATGGCTTTAATAATCCCCGCCTTTGTGATCTGACTCAGTGAGAGTAAAACTATCTGGGTCTAGTTTAATTATTTTTCCTTGTACAAAACACCCATTTGCGAAACACGGCATCGCTTCAGGCGAACACAGGGTTCAATTAAGTTAATGAGAAAATGATGGAGCATGATTTATTAAAGTATATTCGTGGTGGCCTACATGGAATTTTAATTTTAAGGTGATTTGAACAGATGTGTGACCGTGCTGGAGTTCCTTTATAGCCCAACATTAGCCTCCTTTAGCTTAGCGGTGGTGAAGTGAAGTCATGTGACCGTGCTGTAGTTCCTTTATAGCCCAACATTAGCCACCTTTAGCTTAGCGGTGGTGACGTGAAGTCATGTGACCGTGTTGGAGTTCCTTTATAGCCCAACATTAGCCTCCTTTAGCTTAGCGGTGGTGACGTGAAGTCATGTGACCGTGCTGTAGTTCCTTTATAGCCCAACATTAGCCTCCTTTAGCTTAGCGGTGGTGACGTGAAGTCATGTGACCGTGCTGTAGTTCCTTTATAGCCCAACATTAGCCTCCTTTAGCTTAGCGGTGGTGAAGTGAAGTCATGTGACCGTGCTGTAGTTCCTTTATAGCCCAACATTAGCCACCTTTAGCTTAGCGGTGGTGACGTGAAGTCATGTGACCGTGCTGTAGTTCCGTTATAGCCCAACATTAGCCTCCTTTAGCTTAGCGGCGGTGACGTGAAGTCATGTGACCGTGCTGTAGTTCCTTTATAGCCCAACATTAGCCTCCTTTAGCTTAGCGGCGGTGACGTGAAGTCATGTGACCGTGCTGTAGTTCCTTTATAGCCCAACATTAGCCGCCTTTAGCTTAGCGGCGGTGACCTGAAGTCATGTGACCGTGCTGTAGTTCCTTTATAGCCCAACATTAGCCGCCTTTAGCTTAGCGGCGGTGACCTGAAGTCATGTGACCGTGCTGTAGTTCCTTTATAGCCCAACATTAGCCGCCTTTAGCTTAGCGGCGGTGACGTGAAGTCATGTGACCGTGCTGTAGTTCCTTTATAGCCCAACATTAGCCGCCTTTAGCTTATCGGCGGTGACGTGAAGTCATGTGACCATGCTGTAGTTCCTTTATAGCCCAACATTAGCCGCCTTTAGCTTAGCGGCGGTGACGTGAAGTCATGTGTCCGTGCTGTATGCTATGCTAATCTCACACCTTGTTTTCCTGTCTCCTCAGGGGTCTCCTACTCATACGTGCAGGGGCTGTCTGGAGATGAGGAAACAGCAGTGGATGTGAAGCTGTTCAGCCACAGGTGGAGGAGATGGCTTCCTCCGAAACCTCGTAACATGGACAGCAACAGAGCCAGCCAGGAGCAGGACCAGAACCAGAACAACGACCAGAACCAGAACCAGGATCCAGAGCCTGAGGAACCTGAAGGATTCCCGGGTCTGATGTCTGCAGAGGAAACAGACAACAGCTCCCAGATAGAGGTAGGAACTGTATACGTGTAAATCTGTATGTCTATATAAAGACAGAGTAGACTTTAAAGGTCTCCTATCATGCAAAATGCACTTTCTGATGTCTTCTCTACATCACTATGTGTCCCCGGTGTGTCCCCGGTGTGTCCCCGGTGTGTCCCCGGTGTGTCCACGGTGTGTCAGGAGACTCACAAAGTGATATCTTCTCTATATCACTATGTGTCCCTGGTGTGTCCCCGGTGTGTCCCCGGTGTGTCCCCGGTGTGTCCCCGGTGTGTCTCCGGTGTGTCCCCTGTGTGTCCCCGGTGTGTCCCCTGTGTGTCTCCGGTGTGTCCCCTGTGTGTCCCCGGTGTGTCCCCTGTGTGTCCCCGGTGTGTCCCCGGTGTGTCCCCGGTGTGTCCCCTGTGTGTCTCCGGTGTGTCCCCTGTGTGTCCCCTGTGTGTCCCCGGTGTGTCCCCGGTGTGTCCCCTGTGTGTCCCCTGTGTGTCCCCGGTGTGTCCCCGGTGTGTCCCCGGTGTGTCCCCGGTGTGTCAGGAGACTCACAAAGTGTCAGAAAACCAAACCCTCTCTCTTTTCCTCCGTACCCACATCTCTAAAAACGGGGGAACAATGGAGCTGATCCAGATTTGACAAATTAGATAAGTTGATAAGAAAAAAGCCCAATATACCCTTCCTATTTCCGCTTATGATAATGAATCTAAGGCTTCTGTTTTAAGGAATGAGCTGTGTTCATAGGGAAATGAAGCCCTATGGAGAGCTGTCATGTAGGCGGTTGTATCAAGCTTAATTTACCTACATTTGATTGAGTTTACTAACTTATAACTTCACTTATGAGGCAATAAACCTGACCTCTAGTGAGCGGCCCAGCCCTTCGAATATTTTTCTGTATGTGGGCCTCGGTGAAAAAAGTTTGCACACCCCTATATGCCTAAAAATAGTAGAATAGGAGACCTTTAAGAGATGTAGGTAAGGGATTGGGGCGATGATCATAAACCCATTAGTTAATGGACTCTCCGTCTTTTCCCCTGAATGAATCCCAACTAAAGTGCAGCTCCACAGGGAGGAATATAAAGAGCAGGAATCGATAAAGCTCTCTGCTCAGCTGTGTGTCTAAAAATACTCCCTCAGCCTGGAGCAATTATAACTCCCCTGGATGTTGGGTAATGAAAAGACAGATGAATATTTGATATATTAAAATCAGCCCTCAGGTGTTCGTCTACCTTCTTCTTAAACCTGACCACACAGACACAGGAAATTAACTGTGTGTGTGTGTGTGTGTGTGTGTGTGTGTGTGTGTGTGTGTGTGTGTGTGTGTGTGTGTGTGTGTGTGTGTGTGTGTGTGTGTGTGTGTGTGTGTGTGTGTGTGTGTGTGTGTGTGTGTGTGTGTGTGTGTGTGTGTGTGTGTGTGTGTGTGTGTGTGTGTGTGTGTGTAAGGCGTCCCCTTGTTGTGGCGTTCAGTCGTAATGATGTCGGACGCCGGGGTGCAAACAGCTCGTTAAAGAGTCCCTTTAGCTTCTAATCATCTCAGGTTGAACTGTAATCATGCTCTCACAGACAGACACACACACACACACACACACACACACACACACACACACACACACACACATTGTTTTTTGGGCTCTCAGAGGGTTATTATCTGTTGCTAAATGGAAAGGCAGTCCCCAGCACAAACACGCCATAACTCCTCCTGTCATTACACACACACACACACACACACACACACACACACACACACACACACACACACACACACACACACACACACACACACACACACACACACACACACACACACACACACACACACACACACACACACACACAAAGGGCTGAAGACACATACCCTGATTTTAACTGGATTTTCTGCACCCTTGTTTCCATCTCTTATGCTAAGCTAAGCTAACTGACTCTAAATCTCTCACTTCCAACATATGTTTGATATCTGTGACTATATCTTAATTTCCATCAAACAGGCTTGCGTTGAAGTAGAACTGAAGGAATCTGATCTGAGGTCAGCGTGTGTTTTGGTTAAGGACAGACTCCTCTCACCTGGCTGTATAGCAGCAGACTGTGAGTCACTGTGTTGTTCATCAGATGGGACAGACGCAGACTACAGAACAAACAAAGTCACTGAGTTCAGATGTGATCAGTTTCTTCACTGCTCGTCTGGACACGCTGTCGGTAACGGCTTCTATTTCTGTTGTTGTTTGTGTCGGCAGAGAAGCTTTTAAAACCTGTTTTATGTCCCCGCACATTTCATAACCCCAGCTGCTGTTTCATGGGAATCGACAGCATGTGTGGCGTAATGATGTTCATACAGAGCTCATGTGCAATGGATAAACACCATACATACCATAAACACATTCATCTGGACATGTGTTGCATGTTCTTTTGACTTGTCTTTGTTTGGTACATGTCAACACTTCATTCAATAAAAGTAATAGCTAGTATAACATAGACTCTTGAGGCCTTGGCGGCATAGAATTAGCACCAGAACAACCTAAAAAGAACAGTTAGCATCTTGTTCTGACTCCAACATATTGAATAAGTTGGTGTAAATGTTGATAATCGTGAATGTCTCACACTTTCCCCTAAAGTATATTCACCACTAAGTAAAGATCGCTGCTTAAAAATACCACTAAAAAACTCTATAAAACAGTTTGGGCATAGTTCCTGTCTCACTTGTTGTAGTTCAAACCCCTCAGACTGCATGTTGGCCTCTGATGGACCCGACAAACTCAATCTACACTTCTAATATCATACTTTTAGAAGTGTCTTTGGACCTGATTCAACAAAAGTCATAAGCAAACTAACACAGAGTCCTGAGCTCTTCCTAGTTACTTACTAGTTCAGAGGTAACTCACAGATGTCCAATGGATCTATTTGATGTCTTAAAATAACTACACAAATACACATTTCATGTCTTCAGCTTTATTGTCCTTGCACAGAGTAACGAAATGCAGTTTTCATCCGACCAGAAAGAGAAGTAAAGTGCATGAGGATTCAGTAAATGCACTCAACAGAACCACGGGGTCGTCGTGTATAAATGTGAAATGTGCATAAATATCTTTAGAGCACATGAAGCCACAGGGACTTCACATGTTCCTCTGAATGTTCATTCTCTCGCCTGCAGAGCGGTACAGTCTGTTCTGAGCAGACGTGCCAGGTTTCTAATAAACGCTCACAGTGTGTGTGTGTGGGGGGGGGGGGGGGGGTGTGTTTGTGTAGCTTTGATGTGCAGTAATCTGAGAGGAGGGGGGTTCTGATTGGTTAATGGAGGTGTGGGACAGCTCAGAGGCTCATTGGGGGTTTCACGCTTCACTTGTTTACTTGTGTGTTTCTTAAGGGATTCACTCGGCTCATTTTCATTTCGTCTCCTGATTCCCGAGCGCTGCTTTAATATCACAACGCTGCGTATTCAGAACATGCAGCGACTTCAAATCACTGTTTGTTTTGTGTCTTTAAAGGTTCCTACAAACACAAGGTCAACTTAAATAATGTGCATTTCAAAAAGAGGGAAACTAAAAGGTACCATGGGGTCGGATTAGAGTTTTCCAAAGGGGGGTTCGTTTAGCACGAAACACTTTAAATAACTAATAAGTTAAACAAGAAAGTAGAAAGAAAGTGAGGTCAAAGAAAACTATTGCTGCTAAAAAGTGAGCAACGATTGAGTCAGAGCTCAACATGTCAGATGTGTGTATCTCACACGGCTCTGTGACTTTAATCCATGTCTCTTTGTTGTTCATGAGTGTTTTTAAATGCCATTTTACAATATGTTTCTTAATGTCTTTCATTTCTGTAAAGCACTTTGAACTGCCTTGTGTTGAAAGGTGTATAAATAAACGTGCTTTGCCTTACAGGAGAATTTGTGATATGAACTTATATCTTATCTCCTGCAGCTTCTCCAGCTCAGCTTCTCCTGCAGCTTCTCCTGCAGCTTCTCCTGCAGCTTCTCCAGCTCAGCTTCCCTCACTTTACCAACGTTCACTTTAAAGACACAGCTGTACGGTTTCTCATTAAAGTGCAGACGAGCAACAGGAAGTCAAAGACACGAGCATCCTAACTATTTCTGTTCAGGAAACCATAAAATCTCCCACATGGCTCATAAAAGTCCACTCTCTGTTACATCCTGACGGTGCAGTCTGCTGTTACTTTAAGAGAGGAAAGAGTCAAGTGGCTTCCTTGTTTGTTCTTCATTTCATTAGACGGTCTTCGTGCACTAATGAAAAAACCCACAGAGTTGAATTAAAGGGCAAAGAGAATGCAGACACAATGGAAACGGAAATGCATTGTCATGTAATCTAATTAGCATCTGAATAAAAAATCACTCGTGTTTTCTGAGGTTTTTGCAAAATCTGCAGCTGGAGTTTATTAGATTACTTTGAATTAGATTTACAGGAAGGACGCAGAGCAATATCTAATCTCTCCATTAAGTCGTATTACATTTCTCTAAATAACTGATTTTGTTTTGTCATTTCTGCAGGAGGACACAGATCACAACTACTACACGTCAAAAACATACACCCCGTCAGACCCAATGAGCAAGGACCTGTGGGTAGATGTGGACCAGATGCAAAAAGACAAAGTGAAGATCCACGGGATTCTGTCCAACACACACCGACAAGCAGCGGTGAGTCAACACACACACGATTCTCTTTAAAGAGTCCTCTCCTGCTGATGTTCAGGTGTATATCAGTATGTAGTGTCTCTACTTTAAAGAGTCCTCTCCTGCTGATGTTCAGGTGTATATCAGTATGTAGTGTCTCTACTTTAAAGAGTCCTCTCCTGCTGATGCTCAGGTGTATATCAGTATGTAGTGTCTCTACTTTAAAGAGTCCTCTCCTGCTGATGTTCAGGTGTATATCAGTATGTAGTGTCTCTACTTTAAAGAGTCCTCTCCTGCTGATGTTCAGGTGTATATCAGTATGTAGTGTCTCTACTTTAAAGAGTCCTCTCCTGCTGATGTTCAGGTGTATATCAGTATGTAGTGTCTCTACTTTAAAGAGTCCTCTCCTGCTGATGTTCAGCTGTATATCAGTATGTAGTGTCTCTACTTTAAAGAGTCCTCTCCTGCTGATGTTCAGGTGTATATCAGTATGTAGTGTCTCTACGTTAAAGAGTCCTCTCCTGCTGATGTTCAGGTGTATATCAGTATGTAGAGTCTCTACTTTAAAGAGTCCTCTTCTGCTGATGTTCAGCTGTATATCAGTATGTAGTGTCTCTACTTTAAAGAGTCCTCTCCTGCTGATGTTCAGGTGTATATCAGTATGTAGTGTCTCTACGTTAAAGAGTCCTCTCCTGCTGATGTTCAGGTGTATATCAGTATGTAGTGTCTCTACTTTAAAGAGTCCTCTCCTGCTGATGTTCAGGTGTATATCAGTATGTAGTGTCTCTACTTTAAAAAGTCCTCTCCTGCTGATGTTCAGGTGTATATCAGTATGTAGTGTCTCTACTTTAAAGAGTCCTCTCCTGCTGATGTTCAGGTGTATATCAGCATGTAGTGTCTCTACTTTAAAGAGTCCTCTCCTGCTGATGTTCAGGTGTATATCAGTATGTAGTGTCTCTACTTTAAAGAGTCCTCTCCTACTGATGTTCAGGTGTATATCAGTATGTAGTGTCTCTACTTTAAAGAGTTCTCTCCTGCTGATGTTCAGGTGTATATCAGTATGTAGAGTCTCCATGCTTTAATGTTAAAAAGTGAACTGAAAATAGTGCTTTATGTATATATGTGTCACTAAAGTTCTATAATATTGCAGTTAGAACAAAAGTCAGCAGAAAGATATAATATAGTGAGTTTTCTCTAGCATTAAACCCAGGGCAATAAGGATTTAAACTGTTGAAACTCTGCAGTGAAGTCTTAAAGCTCTCCTCAATCCTCCTCTGCAGAAAAAGGTGACCTGTGTGAGGCGCATACTGATGAGGTCACAGTAAAGTGACCGCAGAGACCACAGCATGGCAGGCTTTAAAGAAAGAGAAAGACAGCAGGGGAACAATAGCTGGAGAGGAGCGAGTCCATCATTAGTATTCAGAGCTGTAGCTCCACTCAGGTAGCAACACTGAGAGGAAGCTACTCTCTGTGAGGAGAGGCTTTATCATTCAGTAAAAAGCTAATGTTGGGCTATAAAGGAACTACAGCACGGTCACATGACTTCACGTCACCACCGCTAAGCTAAAGGAGGCTAAAGTTGGGCTATAAAGGAACTACAGCACGGTCACATGACTTCACGTCACCACCGCTAAGCTAAAGGTGGCTAATGTTGGGCTATAAAGGAACTACAGCACGGTCACATGATTTCACGTCACCACCGCTAAGCTAAAGGTGGCTAATGTTGGGCTATAAAGGTACTACAGCACGGTCACATGACTTCACGTCTCCACCGCTAAGCTAAAGGTGGCTAATGTTGGGCTATAAAGGAACTACAGCACGGTCACATGACTTCACGTCACCACCGCTAAGCTAAAGGAGGCTAATGTTGGGCTATAAAGGAACTACAGCACGGTCACATGACTTCACGTCACCACCGCTAAGCTAACGGAGGCTAATGTTGGGTTATAAAGGAACTACAGCACGGTCACATGACTTCACGTCACCACCGCTAAGCTAAAGGTGGCTAATGTTGGGCTATAAAGGTACTACAGCACGGTCACATGACTTCACGTCACCACCGCTAAGCTAAAGGTGGCTAATGTTGGGCTATAAAGGAACTACAGCACGGTCACATGACTTCACGTCACCACCGCTAAGCTAAAGGAGGCTAATGTTGGGCTATAAAGGAACTACAGTACGGTCACATGACTTCACGTCACCACCGCTAAGCTAAAGGTGGCTAATGTTGGGCTATAAAGGAACTACAGCACGGTCACATGACTTCACGTCACCACCGCTAAGCTAAAGGTGGCTAATGTTGGGCTATAAAGGTACTACAGCACGGTCACATGACTTCACGTCTCCACCGCTAACCTAAAGGTGGCTAATGTTGGGCTATAAAGGAACTACAGCACGGTCACATGACTTCACGTCACCACCGCTAAGCTAAAGGAGGCTAATGTTGGGTTATAAAGGAACTACAGCACGGTCACATGACTTCACGTCACCACCGCTAAGCTAAAGGTGGCTAATGTTGGGCTATAAAGGAACTACAGCACGGTCACATGACTTCACGTCACCACCGCTAAGCTAAAGGTGGCTAATGTTGGGCTATAAAGGAACTACAGCACGGTCACATGACTTCACGTCACCACCGCTAAGCTAAAGGTGGCTAATGTTGGGCTATAAAGGAACTACAGCACAGTCACATGACTTCACGTCACCACCGCTAAGCTAAAGGTGGCTAATGTTGGGCTATAAAGGTACTACAGCACGGTCACATGACTTCACGTCTCCACCGCTAAGCTAAAGGTGGCTAATGTTGGGCTATAAAGGAACTACAGCACGGTCACATGACTTCACGTCACCACCGCTAAGCTAAAGGAGGCTAATGTTGGGTTATAAAGGAACTACAGCACGGTCACATGACTTCACGTCACCACCGCTAAGCTAAAGGTGGCTAATGTTGGGCTATAAAGGAACTACAGCACTGTCACATGACTTCAAGTCACCACCTCTAAGCTAAAGGCGGCTAATGTTGGGCTATAAAGGAACTACAGCACGGTCACATGACTTCACGTCACCACCGCTAAGCTAAAGGAGGCTAATGTTGGGCTATAAAGGAACTACAGCACGGTCACATGACTTCACGTCACCACCGCTAAGCTAAAGGAGGCTAATGTTGGGCTATAAAGGAACTACAGCACTGTCACATGACTTCAAGTCACCACCTCTAAGCTAAAGGCGGCTAATGTTGGGCTATAAAGGAACTACAGCACGGTCACATGACTTCACGTCACCACCGCTAAGCTAAAGGAGGCTAATGTTGGGCTATAAAGGAACTACAGCACGGTCACATGACTTCACGTCACCACCGCTAAGCTAAAGGAGGCTAATGTTGGGCTATAAAGGAACTACAGCACGGTCACATGACTTCACGTCACCGCCGCTAAGCTAAAGGAGGCTAATGTTGGGCTATAAAGGAACTACAGCACGGTCACATGACTTCACGTCACCACCGCTAAGCTAAAGGCGGCTAATGTTGGGCGTGATGACGTTTAGTCGTCTCATTTAGACACTTGTTAGCAACCGCTTTGTTTAAATCCACCAGTGGGGAATCTACTGTCGTATTTTAAAATCTCTTCAGCCTGTGTTAACCTCAGACCTCATTTATATGTTTACTCAGTACTCTCTCTCTGCATCACATTAGCTGGCAGCGCTACGATTTAGCATTAAAGCATGAATGCGTACTCTATCATTAGTGGTGACATGTTAAAGACATTTTGTTTTATTTAGAAAAACGTCATGATTTTATAGCGTTCTTTTATTACGTGTTAATTGCCATCAGCAGAATGGCTTTCCACATGTAACCAAACTCTGTCCCGCTATAAAAAGGGCTTTAAAATGCCTTAGAGAAACATAATTTATCTTTTCTGTATTTCCACACGCTCATAAACCTTTCATATTCACATTTCCTTTCTTTTGTTTTATAACTATCCCTCTTTTTGTCGTAGGTAGCAGAAATGGGCTCCCATAAAACATAGATTTATAATGTAAAAGTGTATTTATTGCCATTAGACATCCCATTATTGCACGAGTCCTCATTAATCCACATCAAGGTCATTTACTGTTCAGCACAGATGAGCTCTGTTTGCTCCTTTCTCCTGTGTTTCCTCTGATCTAAATCCTCTGGTTGTTTTATAAGATGAAGACTCTGATCCTCCTCTTCCTCTTCCTCTTTTCTCCCTCACAGAGAGTCAACCTGTCCTTCGATTTCCCCTTTTATGGACACTTTCTGCGTGAAATCACCGTGGCAACTGGTGGTAAGTTTTCTCTCATTGGTGGTTATTGGATATATATGCTGTGTTTGCTTCACTTTCAACCAGCTTACAGATGTCCCGCCCCTTAGCCTATCAAATCAAATCAAATCAAACACCTATTTGTATAGCCCAATATCACAAAACACGTTTGTCTCAGTGTTACAGAGTAAAAACAACCACATTGTATATGATGGAGTTACAGCAATGTGTTGGAGCGCTATCCAATAGCAGCGGGAGTGTACCGTAGTGATGTCACCATGTTCCTCTCCTCTCTAGTAAAGTCTAATCCCCTCATTCTGTTCTTCTACATATCATATTCTATTCACATGTATATAGACTTCTTGCACTATTTTTTATTATTGTATTTTATTATATATGTTGCCTTGTTGGAGGAGCTCAGGTCAGAAGAGTTTCATTGCCATCTCACCACTGTAGCTTTGTGCATGTGATGATAAAACCTTTGAGCATTGAGAAATAGCAGCGCGAGTGTACCGTAGTGATGTCAGTATGTTCCTCTCCTCTCTAGTCAATTCTAAACCCCTCATCTTACCCATTGACGGGGGGAAAATGTCACGTTGTTGATACTGCGAGACACAGCTTTTTATTTCTTCATGACTCCAGTTCGAACGCCGCTCTGAGGCTTTGGACTCTGATGTGATAATCGCTGGTCGGGGTGTTGTGGTTTCACCGCCAAGACTCAAGTGGAAAATTGCTTTGCACACTCTGGCAAACACGTCTGCTGTGACACACACACACACACACACACACACACACACACACACACACACACACACACACACACACACACACACACACACACACACACACACACACACACACACACACACACACACACACACACACACACACACACACACACACACACACACACACACACACCTCCTGATACCTCCTTATCCATGTCTATCAGGGTGTGTTGGCAGCATGTCTCCAGTTTCCAGTCCAAACTCATCCGTCTGGTTTCTCTTCCAGTTAAAAGTTCTCAGAGCGGTTTGTTTTTCTGTCTCCCAGTCTCTCCTGGAGTTTAGAGCCGTTGATGTTTTTACACAAGGCTCGGCGGTGTGTTTTTGTTCTGCGGTTTGTGCCAGACAAGCCTTTAAAACTTCATCATAGGAGACATTTAAAGAAATAACTCATGTGTAGTCGTTCCTAGGCTTTGGGAGTAATGGATTACAAGTAACGAGTAATTAGGATACAAAAAAAGAAAGGAATAGTTACATAAAAAAGATCAGATTACTGGTACATTTCTTTAATTTGGGGACTACTAGCAGGATTACAGTGTTACTAAAGAAGAGCTTATTGTGTTTCCTGTAAAAGGATCACATGTTACTCCTTGTGTTGCAAAGGAATAACCAATCTCTGCATTTTCTGACACAAGTAGAAGCTAGACTAAAACGCCACAACAAGCATTTTAGCTTAGTTCCCTTTAGTGTCTGTCTGTCTGTCTTCTGCTGCTGTTAATCCTCCTTAGCAACAGTCTGTTCTCCTTAGCAACAGTGTGTTATCATGTATTAACCACATCTGAAATGTCCAATCAGAATTGAGTATTCAACGACACCTTCTGTGGAGTTTAAAACAAGTCAGAAAATCATCTCCAGAGCCTCGGAGGAGACGGGGGGTTTCCCTCAGTAAGACATATTTCTGATTGGTTACAGGCTCTTGTTTTGCATAACTCAGCAGTAAAACAATAACCTTTTAATTTGTCTGAAAACCTCGTAAAACCAAAACAAATGTGTGTGTGGTTCAGTCAGAGCAGCTGTGAGGCTCAGAGTAAATCCAAACAGACGGAGGAACTCGTCCAAACACAATATCTGATTCCCGCTCCTGTTATTCTTGGACATATAAACAGACCTCAGGAGGAATGATTCTGCTCCTGAAACCATTCCTCTGCTCTCCATCACCAGAGCTGGGAAGTATTGGAGTACAAATATTTAGTTACTGGTATCAGTACTTTATTTTTCTGACCACTTTTTACTTTCTACTTCTTACATGTTGAACACAAATACCTGTACTTTCTACTTCTTACATGTTGAACCCAAATACCTGTACTTTCTACTTCTTACATGTTGAACACAAATACCTGTACTTTCTACTTCTTACATTTTGAACACAATACCTGTACTTTCTACTTCTTACATTTTGAACACAAATACCTGTACTTTCTACTTCTTACATGTTGAACACAAATACCTGTACTTTCTACTTCTTACATGTTGAACACAAATACCTGTACTTTCTACTTCTTACATTTTGAACACAAATACCTGTACTTTCTACTTCTTACATGTTGAACACAAATACCTGTACTTTCTACTTCTTACATGTTGAACCCAAATACCTGTACTTTCTACTTCTTACATGTTGAACCCAAATACCTGTACTTTCTACTTCTTACATGTTGAACCCAAATACCTGTACTTTCTACTTCTTACATGTTGAACACAAATACCTGTACTTTCTACTTCTTACATGTTGAACACAAATACCTGTACTTTCTACTTCTTACATGTTGAACACAAATACCTGTACTTTCTACTTCTCACATTTCCCAAACAGGCTGGTTCCTTTAGTTTGAATGTGTGTCTGGTGGCGTGATCATTATTATTTAGAGTCATTGCGTGCCTATTGATTTGAACACGATCCGTGTATCCATCATTTCCTGGTCTTCTCTAAAGAAGAGGGACCAATGAAAACGTTGTCATGTTGCCGTTGTTCAGCATGGAAACATTCATTAGCTAACAATGACATTATTGTTCTATTAATATAAAGGGAGGTCAGGTACTCTTTAAAACAGCTGCTAGTTATGGGTACTTTTTACTGAAGTACATTTCAAAGCCTCTTTACTTTGACTTGAGTAAAGAAGTTTAGTGAGTACTTCTACTTTCACCAGAGTATGTTTAAACACGAGTATCTGTACTTCTACTTGAGTAAAGGATGTGTGTACTTTAACCATCTCTCTCCATTATCCCTGTGTATATGTTCCCCTCTCTTAGTCCTTAGTGACGGACATAATGGATGAATCGCCTCTGAGTCGAGCGCCTCACCTCTTTAGAGTATTTAAAGCTGTCTCATTTCCTCCACACTGTCAAATAAGTCTTTTATGTGGTTGTTTTTCAGGAGATTGCTGGTAGAAAGTGTTATTAAAGAGGCCCTATTGTGCTTGCTGGGGTGTGTTCCATTCCCTGTAGTGTGTTCTCTAGGTTTCTGTGCATGTCAATGGTCTGCAGAATACTCAAATCCCAACGTTTAGGCCCCTGAAAGTGAAAGAAAAGCAAAACAAAGCGATAAGAGCGTTCTGGAGTTGCATGTTGGGTAAATATGAGATGAGGAATGCATGGAGGCTGATATAAGTCTCTGCACAATCTGATAAGTGCATGAAGTTCACCTCACAGGTAGACTCAACAACTTTCCTCTCTACGTTCATCTACCGGGACACAACAGGCTTTTATCTGCTGCTCGGCAAACACACACTGCCTTCAAGTATTTCATTATGTTCGCTATATGCTTTAAATATGTCAGGAAGGCTGGTTCTGAGAGCAGGTTTTTATCTAAATGAAATGTCTGCTTTTGGGTTTTATGTTGCTGAGGGATGCAGAAATGTTTCTAGCTTGTTTGACTTAATGAGGAGGAATCATAATGTGGGAGTTTTTCAAATTGGCAGCATTACTGGATATGCAACTCGTCAGTTCTGTTCACTTACACGTAACATCCAAAGTGATAGATGTGTTTTATAGCCTCTGTTTGAGCAGACATGATCAGTGGATTTATGGCCCCGGCATCATTTAGACTTTTCCCTAAAAATCCTCTTTCCTCTCCGAGCAGGGTTTTCCCACTCTTTGCTTCAGGCAGCTTTTTATATCCTGTATTTCTGTTAAAACCTCTGCAACAAAGCACAGAGGAATGTCTGGTTTTGGGGGATATTCACTACGAAAGTGAGGTGAAGGACTTCTTAGTAGTTAAAAAAACATTCCCACATTGATTTAAGGGAGTAGTTAGAGTTTGGGGAACACACTGAGAACACTAACTTCTGCCACCGCTTAGTTTAGCTTAGCCTAGCTTAGATTAACACAGAAAACAGGGGAGATACAGCTCAAATATTTCCATTTGCAAATGTGTAATATATATGACATATTTCTTTTAAAAATCACATGAAAAAATGCTAACTTCTGCCACCACTTAGCTTAGCCTAGCCTAGTCTAGTCTAGCAACAGCCTAGCTTCGCCTAGCCTAGCATAGCCTAGTTTAGCCGAGTTTAGCCTAATTTTGCCTAGATTAGTTTAAGAAAAGAGCAGGCTATATTTATATATATTTTTTTTTTAATCACTTTAAACAAAAACGAACTTCTGCAACCACTTAGCTTACCTTAGCCTAGCTTAGCCTAGCTTAGCCTAGCTTAGCCTTGCTTAACACAGACAAAAGGGAAGATGGAGCTAAATAAAATATTTCAATTTTTTGATTTTTTGATATTCTTTTGTATACACTAGATCAGGGGTTTTCAAAGTCTGGGAAGGTGAGCCTCCCCTCAGAGAACATGAGAACAGCCGCGTCCCCCCTCCCAATTATTATTGCTATCATTATTATTATTATTATTGTTGTTGTTGCTATAATGCAGGGGTATTCAATTGCATTTCAAAGAGGTCCAGTAAGAGCAAATGTCATTAAATGCTCTGTTTTCGCTGTCTACCTTTCTCTTTTTTGAGCACGCCATTTGAAGTTACTCCAACTGTTTCTCTCTTCTTGTCTCGTCTCTGTGTGTTTGAATCTATCGTGCTGACTCACTGACTGCACCGATTTGAATGGCTGAGTAGCATCACCTCCTAAAAACATTAAAAAATAACTTTTTAAAACCTTTTTATCTTTATGGTTTTAAATATGTGTTTTAAACATTTTTTACATTTTCAACATCGTGGATGAATCCTTATATGCTCCCGGCAACACACTGAACATCAACTTTGCCTCCTTATTACACTCACCCCTACTTTAGTGCTGGGAACAATGAGTCTGCGTCTTTGATGCGCACATGCGGGTGATGCGGGGATCAGAGTCCTGCGGGGATCAGAGTCCTGCGGGGATCAGAGTCCTGCATTGGGTCGGTACCCGACGGGTGACCCGCAAAAAAAGTGATTCGCGGGTGGTAAGTTTCCTCAGACCTCTCCCCGCGGGACCGCGCATAATCATAACCTCTGCACCGCATCAATCTGCTGCTGAGCGCGCCACATTCGAAATGGCTGAGGTGAAGCTCTAGCGGAGAATACAGCATTGTAAATAACTCTTCCTCAAGAGCGAAATCCAACGTCTGGGAGGCTTTTGGTGTCATGGAGAAAATAACCAACATCCCACGCTTTTTGAGCCAAATACGCAACTGCGTGTGTTAATAATTGCATGTTTTCAGTGCTCCTAGGATATGCGGGTTCGGGTCGGTTTGCGGATCTTGTGCCGACGGGTCGGGTCGGTTTGCGGAACTAATTGGCAATATGTGCGGGTGGCGGGGCGGGTTCGGTATTGCACGTTGCAGGTGCGGGGGCGTGAGCGGGTCTTGAAAATCAGACCCGTGCAGGACTCTGGCGGGGATGCAATGTAGACAGGAATAAACGCAGATCAGCCTCTGGCTGCAGCCTTGACCGGTACTTGCTTTTGATCAAAGTCAATGCGGAAAACCCGCACTCACACCGGTAGGTGGAGGTGAAGGGTATGAGCACTTTTACAACCTTTTGTAAAGGTGGGGGAACTCGGTCTCCACAGACAGCCAAAAGTGTGCAAGTGACACTTTACTCATCTTGTTCTCGTTACTTTTTTTTCTCATGCTGCGCCTCCCCTGAAGCTCTCT